TTCCATTATACATGCAACAGAAAAGAAGTTCTAGTTTTGGGAAATGTTTTGGATTATGTAGCATATCTATTTTCAGGCAAAATCTGAGGACTTTTTCTTTTTTTTTTTCAGCCAGTTGCCTGTAAGCTATCTTCCGGGGCCATTTCTTGTATGGCTCTAACTATTCACTCTGCTGTATCCAGAGAAATATAGGTTGTTATTGCCTAAACAAGCGGTCATAGAAGCAACAAGCTATCTCAGGCCATATATATGGACCTCAAACTAAATAGAATCACAGTTAAAAAGGGGTGGGACTGCATATATAAAGTTCTAATTTCCTGATTAGAACTTTCCCTGATCTGAAAGACATTTTTAAATGACTGACCTCACATCCTTCTTTTTCAGTGTAATTCGAGTGTGCATATTTGCAAAGGACTTGGCGAAATGAGCCATGCCCAAATGTTTAAGTATACTAACAGCCAAAAAAAATTCAAGATGTTTGCAATCTGCATGCATTGCTTTAATTTTTTATTAGGTGTTAGGAGTGAATAGGGACCAAATCAAGGTTAGTACGTACCAATGGAAGCTTTTCTCCAACATTCTCACTGGGGCCAAGGAAGAGAAAAAAGATTACCCAACTCTCATATCTTGAATCTTATTCTGAAGTTGCTATTTCCATTTTTATAAATATACACATTAATTGCAATCATGTAGTTTAACATTTTGTTTACTTTGGCCCTTTGTGCTGGACTAAAGTCCTAAAGAGTATTTTTTTTAAGATCTGCAATAGTTAAACATATTTTTTCTGGGAGTATTGGGACATTATGTGAAAAACCTGTAAGCTCCAGGGGAAAACGCTAGGTGCATAAAACTGTCATTTCTATTTATGTGAATCGGAAAAATATTTCATTTGAGAATATGCTACATATATGATGCATTACTAGGATACAAGAATTCAGTAATCACCAGATCAGGATTATGATGTATATTTTTAAAAAATAAAACTAGGATCCAATGTAAAACATATTTAGAATATTAGACAATAAAAGGTTGAATAAACTACCAGAGAAAGATGCTTCGTTACTAATTTTATTGAAAGTATATCTTATTTAATTAAGGTAAGTTTTCCAAAATGCTACGTTTAAAGTTGGGAGAAAAAACAACCTGTCCATTTTCTCTCATCTAGTATGCACTGGATGCCCTAAAGTGTTGTATAAGTGCCAAATGCTGCAAACAAATTTTTTTTAATAAACATCCCCAAAAGCTATTTTGTAAATCTTAAAATTTCATGTGTCTGTGAAGCATGGGAGGGGGCAATCTGGCCCATAGCTAAACTAAAGTATAGTTCTATAAGTTTCTTGTTATCACAATATTACTGCTCGTTACTTATTATCGTTCTCTATTATTACATCTTGCATTGCTAACCTTTGCCTCATTACTCAGATTTTATGTTCTAACTTGTTTTTGGTAGTTCTCAATAAGTCTGTGTGAGTTACACAGAACTTTGGAAAACCTTTCGGCTTTTGCTAGCCTAATGGGGTGAAACTAAACTTTTTACTAATTTCTTGTTCGCATTCGTTATTACAGTATATCATTGTGCAAAAGAAAGCAAAGATAGTACCAATAGTAATAGGCGCCTTGGGTACAATCCCAAAACATCTGGAGTACCACTTGAAGACCCTCGGCATTGACAAAATCACCATCAGTCAATTGCAAAAGGCAACAGTATATTTATATTATTATTATTATTATTAGAAAAACATTAACATTTTGCTTCAAGAACTTGTGAAAAAATGTGTCTTCATAAGCAAATTACAAATGCTTTAAATAACTGAATATCTAAGCTAAAAAAAAATTGGAACTTTGGAGATGAACACAATCGAAGACACTGAAGTTAAGAGTTGTTTTGTACTTTCAGAATGAAAAAGTGTATGTGGGACTGTGTGTGCCTCTGGAACTTGGCCATTTCAGAAAGCTGGGGGATGATTTCATGTCGGAAAAGGTTATGCTGTGCATGTCTCTATGAAATTCTTCACCTGCAATATGAAAGAATGCAGTTCTAAGAAGACTGCACAGAATTTTTTTTTATTTTTTTTTTTAGTATTTAGATCAGTCCTAACATTTCAAAACCTTCACTTAACTTTTAAGAGGGCATTTACTCCCTTGTCAGGCATCCAAAATATGAAACCCTCCCAAAGTTTGCTTATTAAAGCAAGCATCTGGTCACATTTTCAGTTTAAAGAGTGGAGGAGTAGCCTGTCCAGTAATTAATAAAAATTATTAACATTTTTTAGAAAATTCTTGTTAGCATTTCTAAAACTACTTTCTTTGTCAGTCACAGCAGTGCATCTAAACCTTAATTTCCACAAATATTTGAGACATTAAATTAATGCAAAGCCATTTTTGCATAGACATTACTGTGTGATTATTTATCTTCTAGTTCAGTTATCTTACAGATCTCATTTCACCATCACCATATCCATATCCATCCCACCTTCAGGAGCAGAAAGGGGCTAATATGCAGCTCAAAACTTTCAGTGACCATGTTTAATACATCTGGTGACTTAACATACATCTGAAGACAGATTGTCTTCATCTGCCATAGGCCATATATTCCAACCCAGCTCAGAGGCCTTCTTTAGATCAGACAGCTAACAGGTTGAAAAATGCTTTTGCAGAGGTTAACATTATCTATATCCTGCTTCTGTCTGACATCATGTGAGTAGCTTTTTATGGAAATAGCTTAATGTAAATATATTACTATTGCTGCTGTTACTATATATTTCTGTTTTTATTCTATCATATTTCAAGAAAACAAACACGTTGCTAACACAGACATCTACCAAGATTTTCAAAATAACAATTACAATTACTTTTTGGGAATGGTGTGTTTAATCTTCTGTAACTTGAAGCTTATTATTAAGTGCATATTTCAACTTTGGTTACAAGTTCAACCAGTCTCAGAACCTAGTTCCTCTTTCTATTCAGCTTGAAAGTTATTCATTTATTTTGTTGAAATCTTTGTAGAGTATTAGGAACATCTATTTTACTACACTGGTTAATGTTGCAAAATGTGTTTGGAAAATACTGGCATTATTCTGACCTTTTCACTCATGAAAAGCTTACAATATGGGAAAATGTTAACTTAAAAATAGCTTATTTTGGGGGGGGAGGTAAAGTGGGTTCTTCCTACTACTGTGACTTTGAAAGTAGTTTTAAAACTTACATGTAACTTAAACTTGGTCTGATTACCTCACACTACTTTTTGCCTTTTATTTAACTTAAGTGCTTCCCATCTTTGCCCCTGATGCTATTCAATCTTTTGAGTTCATGTTTACTAATCCTGGTATCCTTCTGCACTGGCTTAGGGTATTGGGAGTGGGAGACATTGTCTTACAGTTGTTCTCATTTCTTTGGGGCGGCTTCCAGTTGGTGCTGGTGGGTGGGAGAGGTTGCTTTGTGGGTGCCTCAGGGTTCTACTCTCTTGTCACTCCTATTTAACACAGGGAAGCTTCTGGGTGAGGTCATCCACGGGCACAGGGTGAGGTATCATCAGTATGCTGATGATACCCAATTGTAGATCCCCACCCTGGGCCAACCAAGTGATGCAACCAACATCCTTTCCCAGTGCCTGGAAGCTATGAGGATCTGGATGGTGGAGAACAGGCTTTGGCTCAACCCTGGCAGGTATGAATGTCTGTGGGTTTTAAGACCCCCACCTGATTCTGGAGTTTTTCCATCTATAACTTTGCCTAGCAGTACATTTCCCCAGTGAGAGTTGGTGCACAATTCAGGAGTCCTTTTGGACTCATGGCTCCTGCTCAACGAGCAGGTAGTAGCCATGGCTACAGGGAGCCTTTGCACAGGTTCATCTTGTGCAAGAACTGCATCCATTCCTGGACTAGGAAGCTTTGCTCACAGTGACTCATACTTTAATCACTTCCCATACATGGGGCTACCCTTGAAGAGCATTTGGAAGTTGCAGCTGGTCCAGGATGCAGCAGTGTGGGCAATTTTTTGGTGCTTCTCATTAGACTCATATAACACCTCTGCTTTGCAATCTGGACTGGCTCCCAGTAGGTTTCTGGGTATGATTCAAGGTGTTATTACCTATAAAGCCCTACATGGTATAAGGCCAGGCTGCTTGCCGGATTACTCTTTCCCATTATTTCTGCTCACCCCACTAGATGTAGCAGAAAGGGCATACTTGGGATCCCCTATATGAAACAATGTCATGTCAATGACACTCTGGAGTCATATCTTCTCTGTGATGCCTCCCCTGAGGAACAGCAACCCCTTGGACTTCTGGATGGCCTTGACCCTGTTAGCCTTTTCCAAGGCTCTGAAGACCTGGCTGCTTCCCTTGGCATTTGGGCTAGGCAGTTAGGTAAATTCTGCTGATGATGTGTTTCTTATGATTGGGACATATGGTTTATCTCAGACATCACTGTATGTAGCCATTGTATGTAGCTGGTGTTTTAATCCTTGTACACTGCCCAGAGCCACTACTGTGAGATGGACAGCCATATAAATTATTTAACTGAATACTTTAAAGAGAAAATTAATAAATATGACATATTCTTCAAACATATAGTAATTATTTCTTTTCTAAAATATGTAAACAATATGCTGTGTAATTTCCCTTCCTCTGTTTGTTGCAACAGACTGATCAATATTACAACCGTCAGTGTGATACTAAGATTACTAAGAGGTCAAGTGTCAATTGCTGTCCCTTTCATCAGATACACCAAAATTTAGCAGAATTTAGAAATTATTAATATAAAGGCATATATCATAAAATTCTTTGAAACTAATTGCTCCTACAACTCAGTAGAAATATTTTGATCACATAAACATTAAAAAACAAGGAAAGGAAAGGAAAGGAAAGGAAAGGAAAGGAAAGGAAAGGAAAGGAAAGGAAAGGAAAGGAAAGGAAAGGAATAAATAGAATAAAATAAAATAAAATAAAATGTAAGGAACATTATTCAAACATAGAAAAGTAATCTAAAATCCATACTTACAGGCTGAGGCTGTTCTGCAATACAGCAGTTGAAACACAACCAGAACTCACTCATTTTTTTAACAGTTCAAAGTGCAAATCTTAAAGTTAGGAACAAGACACAACACTTCAAATCCGAAAGGTATCTTGTCCTAGTAATCAGTGTGCATGGGGTCCCACAGTAGCTAAATTAAATACGTCCTTTAAGCTTCTTTGTCTATAAAATGAACCAAGCTGGCATCAACGTAGTTCTCTTCTTTATCTCTCAGGGTATTGACTGCAGCATCACCAAAGCAAGTTTCCTTCATTTATTAGCGTTTTAGTAAAATCCTGGAAGAAGAAACACAAAAAAGGGAAAATTTAAAAAATGTGATATAACGCTTGTTACACAAAGAGAGTTACATTTGTTACCTAATATTTTGTGGGTTTTGATTGTCAATCACTTCAGATTCTACGAAGTTATATACTACAGAAAACTGAATATAAAATGATTGCTTTTTCTACAGTGAGATCCATAAGGAATAAATCTCAAACATGCAAGATTCAGAGCATGCACTTTATCTTGCCTTCCTTCCTCTTCTATACAGTCCTCAAAGAATGCCAAAGAAGGCCATATTAAATATTCCATTTGAACACTGTCTGCATGATATCACAAGATGACACAGTAATAGTCCTCCCAGTTCTTTAACAGCAACCTTATTTATTATTGCAATTAAGTTTCTGTTAGGGTACCCTCTAGCTCTGTAGTATTTATTTATGTCACCAGCCTGCTAAATAATCCAACTTCATTTAAGTGTGTTTAAGCAACCTAGTTGCGTTCAAGCTGACGTGCTGTCAGACTAACATAAATTGACTACTGCTGCCCTGCTGCTGAAAGAAATCGAGTTTTCAAAATAAAGACTATTATTTGAAGCATGAACTACCTTAAAAGGTTTTAAGTGCCTATAGTGGAAAAACTGACACAAGATTCCATCCATTCTTCTGTGAGACTGAAGGGCTAGTTAATCTCTAACCTAAATGCTTTGAAAAGTTAATGAAACATTATTCTACTGCTTTTATTCTAGTCATTTGGCATACTTGCTATTCTCCCAGACTTACTCTTGTATGCTAGGGTCAAAATGTATTATAGAAAGGTACAGGGTATCAGGAAGCATGATTAAAAGTCCTTTAAACTGTTTTATGTGGCCAATTTATAATCTCTTGAGGTATAAATTAAGAAAAAATTACACCCACCCTGATGATGTTCAGGAAGCTAGTAAAGACCTGGCTATTCTCCCAGGTTTTGGGACAGGGTGAATGGTGAGCCCATGCTGGGTGAGGGCTTTGTGGTAGGGTTTTTTGTTTTGTTTTTTCATTATACTGCATGTTGTTTGGGGCCATTCGTTATTTCTTTTTGTCCTTTGCGATTTAAAAAAAAAATTAAGTGTAAACTGCCCAAAGCCATTGAGAGTTAGGCAGCCTATAAATTATAAAAATGAAATGAATTGAAATAAAATAATAATCATTAAACTCCTAGCACTGTTTTTTAGAAAAGGTATGGACCCTGAAATCAAAACAAACCTAAACCCTTCTATATATGAATGTTACCAATAAATATATGGGGGGAATTTTTTTTTTTAAAAAAAATCCCCTCCCTCTCTTAGCCCTTCCCTCTTCCCCTATCAGATTTTGAGCTGAAAGTGGCTAAGAATCTGGGGCCATTAGTGCTGTATACTAAGAATGGGAAGAAGTTTCAAGAAAATGAAAAACAAGAAGTATCTCTTGCTTTTCCCGTCTCAAATGATTCTCCCATCTCCGCATGTCCCAAGCCAGTGCCTGTTACACGTCCTCTGGTTCTGATGGGACAGTGAATCAGAATTCTTTTTGGTAGAAGTGGTGAATATACAGCCTCCCCCAGAATTCTCAAATCTAAGAGATACCTATCTCAAAGTTATCTTCTTTCTTCTCTTTCTTCCAAGCTATGGTGATACACAGGCTGTATCTCAAGACATAATACATTGCAGTGATAATACAGTATAATCAAGTTAGGTGTTGATGGTTTGTTAGCATCTACTTCTGAAATAAGGAGAAATGATAGCTAACATTCCCATCTGACTGGTATCCAGATAAAGCTATTCACACTGACAGGAGATATTCCATTCTCACTTCCCAATATTTTTTCTGGTATGAGAAAGACAAAACATGTGATGAAAACATGATTTGATCCACAGTTAAAAGTCTTCTTTGGTAAAGAAAATGTGTGATAATATTATTTAGGTTTCCCATAAAAATAAAGCCAATGGGGCAACATAATTTTACATTAGAAGATATTTAGAAGTATCCTTGCTTCACTTATAACACTAAACCAAGATGTTTGGTTCACTGAAGAAGTTGTAGTGGCCAGGTTCATACACAATGCTAAGCTATAGTAAGTGAGGTCACACATCATGCTAAAACAAACGCAAAGCCATATTACAACTTTACATTTTATTTAGGTGTTGTGTGTCCTCACACATCCATACCCTTTGGACAGACTATGAAAGGATGGGTGAGAAAACTATGATGGGAAGAGTATTGAGGAACATTAATATATTACGCAAAAGCTAAGGGACCTATGCAGTCAGAAAGCAGAGGACAACTGTTATTGCACTGGCTGGAGAGATTTTAATCCTCTCCTTTTCCAGTGAGAAGAGATTACATTCTATGGTAAAGAAAACCTAAATATTTCAAGTATTGACTCTACACTGGACACATTTCAGGAGGCTGAAGGCCAACTCACACAATTGCTGAGCGGGTAGTTTTTTAGAGTTGTCTTTTTTTTCCACTTTTGACTTGTACTTAAGCCTGTTTCTGGTGAATGAATCAAAACCTGTTGGCAACTCAAGCAAGTGTCAGCAACCCTGCCTAGCCTTGTGTGCATTTCCAATCTGCAGGTCTTAATACCTGCAAATAGATATTCCAGCTTGTTCCTAAAATTGCCCATATCAATACTGCAATAAAAATGCAGGTTTATTACATCAAATAAAATTAAACAAGGTCCCATATATAATTATTAACAGCTCTCAAGCATGGAATCATGTGGTAACTTAACAAGTTACTCTACTTAAAAAGTAATCTTCGTGTTTTTTTTTAATTGGGGGGGGAAGAGATATTAATGACCTGTACAATTTCCTAGTCATCCTAAATTAGGTTTATTATCCATCTCCCAGAGTCAAGCTGTGGGAAAGGGGTGTGTCTCCAGTCACAAAACGAAGGCTTGGCGACATGGGACAATCCCTCCTGCAATCCAGCAGAGCACAGAAGGAAGAGAACCTTGTTCTGGCAATTGCAGGGCAGCTGAAGTTTTCTGCCTGCCACCAGACTGTTCTTGGCACGAGCTGTAAAATCACTGAAACCATAGTATTAAGATGTCATTATCCATCTATTCTTATCTCCCACTAAGTTTGCCAGGCTAGTTAGTCTCACTTTCCCTCCTGCCACAGATTCTGTATCTTGTATAATTTCTGACAGGAAATTATGAAATCAACTGGAAATTTTAAAAAACCTTTTTTTTATAATGTCTGTACAGAGAGCCAGTTTGGTGTGATGGTTAAGGTTCCAGGCTAGAAACTGGGAAGCAGTGAGTTCTAGTCCTGCCTTAGGCACAAAGCCAGTTGGGTGACCCTGGGCCAGTCACTCTCTCTCACCCCTAGGAAGGAGGCAATGGCAAACCACATCCAAAAAAACCTTGCCAAAAAAACTGCAGTGGAAGATACTGATCTCGGTAATCCCATGCAGGAGATAAATTGGCAGAAATTATGGAAATGGGGTGGATTCACCTTAGCTTCAATGCAAGAACTGCAGTGGAAGATTATACATTGCTGGCACTTGACTGCTGTTAGATTGGCACATATATATCAAAATTATTCTTCCAAATGTTGAAGAGGTTGTCAAAAAAAAGTGTCATTTTTTTCATTTGTGGTAGTCATGTGATAAAGCGATATCCTTTTAGCATAAAATTTTGGGGGAAATAAGTAACATCACTAAACAAAGAATTGAATGCTTCCCAGAGTTAGGCTTACTGCATTTATTTACAGGACCAAACCTCAAGCTTAAAAATAAAGAAATTTTTATCTATTTAATTTTAGCAGCATGGATTTCTGGATTCAAATATGTACACTGATTCAGAGGATTTTAAAGATTAATATACAATTAAGACCAGAGGTTTTTCTTTTGGGATCAATGGACAAATAGTTGTAAAAAAGTTATGGAACTTTGTACATGGAAACTGCAGCGAGATTATTGTATGCACAAAGATGGAAAGATTCAGCGTTGCCCACAATGGAGGAATGGTTGGTGAAGATGATGGAACTTGCTGAGATGGGTAAATTGACTTCTTTGATCAGAGAAAAGACAATATCTACATTTACTGCTGACTGGAAACCCCTTATAGACTTTGCGTAAAACAGAAGAAAATGAACTTATGATGTATGGTTTTAATGATTAGACAGGATAGTTTATAGAAAGAAGAGAGTTATGTTGTAACCAGAGTAAGAAGTAAATTTATAATTGTACTTATAACTGCTATAAAGAAGATAGGAAGCTACTTTTTTGTAACCTTTTTCTTTCTTTTCTATTTTTCTTTTCTTTTTTTCCTTTCTTGCACTTTTAGCTTTCTCTTTCATTTCTTTCTCTTTTCTTTTTCTTACTTTATTAGTTTGTGGTCGACTGAACATGGGTTAGAGCTGCTATTAAGGCCTACCTAGTGGCGATAAGGGTGGCAAAGCATCATTACTCCTCTGCTCTTATTGTGTCCACAGTTAGTCACCCCTCAGCCCTGTTTCAGGGGACACGAGCCCTCCTGGGTAAGGATGGCTTGGAAAACCTTCTGCAGGGGTGTGTGGAGGAATGTTCCCAGCATCTGTCAGATAAAATACCCTTGGATTTGTTCTCAGTTGGACGCTGGCTTTGTTGCAAGTCCTGTGGCGAAGCCTAGGGAAGAGTCTTGCCCTGTTATCTGGGAATGTTATCTGGGATCCTGAGGAAGTAGACAGGATCCTTGGGGCTGTGAGCTCAGCCACCTGCTCTTTAGATCCATGCCCCTCCTGGCTGGTTAAAGCAGCCCAGGGAGTGCCACATAAGTGGGTTCTAGAGATGGTTAATGCTTCCTTGAGTGAGGGGATTATTCCTTTACCTCTTAAGGAGGCTTTGGTTCACCCCCTCCTCAAGAAGCCATTTCTGGACCCCACTATACTGGACAATTTCTGTCCAGTATCTAACCTCCCCTTTTGGGGGAAGGTGATTGAGAAGGTGGTTGTGCAGCAGCTTCAGAAGACCTTGGATGAAGCAACTTATCTGGATCCCTTTCA